CTAATTGAATTTTCTGGTTCCGTACCTGATCCCTTTTATAATGTATGTAAAATATAGGAGTAGTTAGTTTGTACTTAAATCATCTGTCATAATTTGTTTGATTTAAAGAAAGAGAAATGTGTGACACCAACAATTATTATAATCTCATAAATTATTTTTTTAATGAATTTAATTTTTTATTAAACATTTAATATTTATAAATTATACTAAATCTTAATTAATTTAAAATTAAATCACGTTAAATCTTATAAAATTAAATCACGTTAAATCTTATAAAAAATAAACTCTTCTAATGTTTGTCTTTTTGCTTGTAAAATTTTAATTCAAAGCTTTATTTAAAAAAATTAAATTTTTTCTATTCAAACAAATAAATTATTAGTAACTCAATAAGTTAATATAATTGATCAAAATAAAAGTGCTTTTCTTTCATTTTCCTTATTTTACCTCCATTCTCCTCAAACTAAATATAAATATGATCTAATGATACTAACATTTAATATCAATGCTAATGTTAACCGGTACCGTCCATAAACAATATATTAATCGGTCACGTCTGAGATTTCAAATTCGTGCATGCCTTTTTACATAGGCATTATTAAAAATGTTAATTTATTATAATTAAATTAATTTTAATATTTTTTTTTTTATGAACTAAACTTAATAGTTATACAATGTAAAATACGGGTGGTGTTATTGCCACAGCTTCAAAGGTTAATACCACAGCTTTTTTAATTAATTGACCATTAACCCACGCGGAGAAGGTGATGACTGCTGCAAGTTGGATTCAAATGAGGGGTATAATAGTCAAATAACTAAAAAAAGCTGTGGCATTAACATTAGTGGCTGTGGCAATAACCCCACCCGTAAAATACTTCTCAAATAATTTCGAACGTTGATATAGTTTTTGGCGAAAGTATAACATAACATGCGCAAGACAAAAATATCAGAGCTTGCCAAAAATAACCGAAGTAAATTCCAAAGATAATTGTATTTCTTCTCATATTCAAAGCTCAAATTCCATTCCAAATTGTTACATAACTGAGTTTTAAGTGTCTAGATTACTCAAGCACCTTTTGCTAGGCATCAGATTTCGATTTTTCAGTCTCTTGCTGTTGTTTCCACTGCTCAGGTGTAAGAGCTTTCTTAATTGAGAGAGCATGGATTTGCTTCATCTCCTCTTGAAGCGCGCCATTCACCATGCGATGCCTCTCCAGCAGCCTCTTGCCTTCAAATTGTTCAGAGACAATCTCGATTGCAAAACTTGCTCCACACCTGATCCAAATACAAAGTTATCATTGCAGAAAATAAAGAGTTGGAACAATAGACAATGGGAACAATACAGGAATTCAAACTAAATCTGTTTCGAAGGAACTTACCCTCCAGATGTATCAATTACTTCCTGAAAGAAAAAATGTGAAAGAATTATTTCACTTGAAAATAGCATCAAATGGAAATGAAGTATGAATAGAAAAGACATCAGGAGAATCCTGGAGATCGTTCAGGACAATTACAAAGCATCACGCATGAAAGGGAAATTTTGAAATTATATAAGGTGGCATTGTCATGCAAAGAGCAGACAGGTCTCAAGGAGCAATTTAAACATGAAAGGAGCCAACGTGATAATGCAGTGAGACAAAAGTGAGAGCAAGGTGTACTCAAGACTGAGTAACTTTGCTTATAGGTCACAAAACATAACAAGGCCAATTGATTCAAACCATGGTAACCTGCCAGGAAAACATCTGATTGAACATAGGAACTCAACCTAATCCAGTTTTCAAGGAATAATACCTTTATACCCATAAGCCACTCATGAGACAATTAGGACCATAATTTGGACGAGGATGATTTTAATAGAGAAAAGTATAAACAGACTCTGCCCAGCATTTTTATCCCAAGGGAGCAGCAGATGACAATCCAATTGTTAACTTCTATATCAAAATTTCACAAACATTTCATATTTGCCAGTAAACATAAAGAATGTTCTCACTAATATTCATCATTGGCTGTGAACAACATAAGAATCGTTTAAGCAAAAGCTTCTATCTACTGACTTTGCAATTCAAGGCTACAAGCAGTGGTAAAGAAATTTTAACAATAACACGTCATTATAAATTCCATGAAGAATCACCCTTGAAGATTACCTTTTCCTTTTGCAAAGATCAGAGCAAGAATTACCAATCAACACTTTCCAAAAAGCTCAAGCATCATGCTAAGGGATACTTGCTTTGATGCAAGACTATAGGGGCAACATTTTCCCTCATTTTATGCAAATGAAGACATGTAAACTGAAATATAATTAATACCCCCTAAACTTCTTTCCAAATCATTCCACAAAGAGAAATGTTAATAGGAAGAACACCCAGGTACTCTAATCCAACACATGCACAAATCAACACGACAAACATAAACTTTGTAACGTTGGACTATCTAAAACTATCTAATTCAACCAATTTCCGAAGAGTAAAATGACTGATAAAAGAAAGGGGAGGAAAGAATCTGGAATTTTTTTTTTTTTGAAAAGTACAAAAACAGTAAGCTTGCAGAAAGGCTTCTAGATCTCAAAATATGTCAAAGCTTGAACAATTTTTCATCATAACCCAATTCACAAGTTGGGATTTTTCTACCATAAATAATCTATTGAACGGAACTAGCTCTGACCGCAAACAAGCTAGATGAAGTAACTCTAATTAAAACATTCTCCCAACCTCTTCTCAACCAGTTTTCCAGGATCAACGCATATATACCCTAAAGGCTGAAGCAGTCATCAAATAAGGAAGAAACAAGGACAAAAATTGAACCCACATGCTCAAGTTTCCAAGTTTCAGAAGAAACACAGAGAAATCTACACACACACACACACACACACACACACTTGATGAAGAAAAAAAAAAAAATTGTTGTTTTGATTATGTTGAAGGAAGAAAAAATAGAGCTTACGAGATGAGAAGGGTTTAATTTGGAAGTCAGTGAAGATTCAACTTGTTCCTTGGTCACTCCCATCTCCTCTCGGCTTGCTGTTGCCATTCCTTCCCTTCCTCCTTCTGTTTGTGTCAAACTCAGACGGCCAGAGACTAAGAAAGTAAGAATGCGTTGGATTGCAGCAGGAAGATTTCTTTATCACAAGCCTAAAGATTCGTCTTGATCTTGATGGAATAGGCTTAAAGCCCAACTTCTTGGGCAGAATAAAAGAAAGCCCAATTTAAATTATTTTTCAATGGGGCTATGACTCTGTTACTTCCTCCAAAATATTGTA